TTTCTTTCCAATTTGACTCCGAATTTCTTGAAATTCAATTCTGACCATACGTACAAGTCAATACACCTAAAATGAAGTTGTTCATGACTTACAACTGCTGAACGACACGCTAGAGCTTAAAACGACCGGTCGAGTCGTTACATTAGGCCAACTGAGAACTCCAAGTTTCAGCAATATTCTTTATTATATTTCCATGTCTGGTTCGGCATTGAGATCAAACAAGCTTGATTGCGATTGTGTAGCATCAATTTGCTGAAATTAAAATCAAACAAACACTATAAGAAAATATGATATGTTTAAGTAATAAATCAAATGTAGTCGCGAAATTATACCTCATTCACACCTAGGGAACCATCATAATCAACGCTTGTACCTCTGCCTTGCCCATTACCCCTACCCCTACGTCCACCACTTCTACCGCCACCTCTACCACCACGATTGACACCAACCCTGCCACCACCCCTGCCATCCCCTCTAACACCAGCTCTTGCGCCATTACTAGCTCCAAATACACCACGCGGCTGTGAACTTGTAAAGTAGTATTCAATTCTTCCTCTATATCGATTCAAACGTGGCCTGCCACGTGAATTAGTATACTGGGGATCTCGTAGAGTTGTGCCTTCAGTTTCATTTGAGTCATCCTGGTCTTGGTTTGGCACGATCATTTCGTCGTCCCAGTTTTGAAGATCATGCACCATCTTCTTCAAATTATGCTTAACATATTGAACCTTCACGCTAGTGCCCAGTGCTATAATACAAGCCATGTCAAAATACTTCAACATGCTCATGTTTGTCTTATACTCAGGCGTCATGGTTGGGTAACCAACTTGATGGAACCGATTCAAGTGTGGCCTAATAACATCGCTTCTCCACCTTGTCAGTATATACCTTTTATCAATTTTATCAATCTTCTTGCGCGACAAGATCTTGAGTATATGGCAACAAAGTATCCCTCTAGACTCAAACCATTTGCAGCTACAACTAAAATAATCGCTGATAGGTATATATTCAACAGTGTACTCAACTAGATTTCCATTATTTTTTGTTATTACTGAATAATCACTAAGGATGAATTTCTCAACACCGGGGACAACTTGATGATCGTTGAGGCTGCTGACTTCACAATGATACAATTTCCTTAGCTGTGTCTTGAAAAATTTATACTTGTACGCGTATAATGTCACACCTCCTTTTTCACCCGCGCACGCAGGGGCGCAGAGAAGTTTTTCTAATTAAAGGACAATCGAAACAGGATTTATTATTAAAGGATCGGAGTCGCCACTTGGGAGATTTGTGGTATCCCAAGTCACCGATTTAATCCCGAATCGAGGAAAAGAATGACTCTGTATTACAGTCCGCGAACCAAAAATCCGGATAAGGAATTATGTTAACCCGGGAGAAGGTGTTAGGCATTCCCGAGTTCCGTGGTTCTAGCACGGTCGCTCAATTGTCATATTCGACTTAATTATCTGATTTTTATACAATTATGAACCTATGTGCAAATTTTAACTTTTAAACACTTTTATTATTATCATTATTATTTTAACAGAGAATTACAACGTTGCGAAAACGTATCTTGAACCACGTCACATCAATGTACCCGTGGTTATCGACACATTTCGACTCCGTTGAGATTTGGATTTGGGTCACATAAATGTGCACCCGAGTTTAAGAAAGTAAATTATTAAAGGCGCGCTTAAAGTGACTAGCGTATTATCATTTTGGGGAAGGCCGTGAACTTTTGTTAAACGGCCCATCCCGAAGTCTAAGGAATTATAATAAATACAATTATCAAGGGCCCCGCAGTTTGCAAGTTATTAGGCGAGGCACGCCTCGTTTATTTTTTAGGATATCCTAAAGCGACTATGGTTCTCTATTTACCTTTGTCTCTAAAGATAGAAAAAAGGCCTAATTAATTACAAGCGTGCAATGTTCCAGCTTTTGTTGTTCGAACCAACAACTTAACGATGACGCACCTCAACGACAATGCATACCTTCATTTTAATTGACAGACATGAACTCCCAAAATTCCTAAACCAATTTATCAGACCCATTAACTATTACGAACTATGGGTTTTAATGAACCGATTTAGTGTAAATGAACCTTTCTTTTCCTGACTTTTAACTGTTTTCAGCACTAATCTACCAACAACAATTCAGGTTTTGCTTACTATCGAATTCAGAAATTGTTATTCAACGAAGACATCCTAATACACTAGCATGATTAATGATAAAATTACTAGCGAGTAGGGTAAATATTAATAGATTAGCTCATGAATTGGAATCCTATTACAAGTTCATTACTCTTTTAACCTGACATTAATCTAGACCCGCCTATTACTGATGACAATCGAGTTCCTCCCAACTGATTCTACAATCCCATTTCACGAACCTATTGAACTGACTACACTTCATGTCATTCCAAGGATTCAATTTAACAGTTCCATGTTATACAATGCTTAACAGATAACCCACCTTAAGAAACAGTTTTGATTATACACATAACTACCATCTATATAACAGGAAAACATCTAAACTAACATCAATTAAAATGCAGGCAGTCCTCAGTTGAACAATAAATGTGTTCGAACATTTCCTTTCAAACTTCAACGAGCTTACATCAATGTGGTTCAGGGTAGTGTACCTGGTATTGGAGTACAAGAAGAAGAAGATCAGCAGAGTAGTATGTAACCCAGCAACAGCAACAATAACCAGCAACAACCAGTAGAAATAAACCAGTAACAGATTTAAAAAGAACCAGCAGAATTCTAGAAATACCAACAGCAACACAAGCACCCAGTAACTGACCCCAAAACAGCTTGATAGCAACCAAATACCAATCAAAACACAAGCAGAAACACCCGCCTAGAATTCAGTAATCAAGAGAAAACTCGAAAATACAACTCCACGGTTAAGCTGAAGCTCTTTTCAGTCTCAATGGAATAGTACTAGTTGAACTAGGCTCACTCTTAAAACTCTTCTAGTTTTTCAGAATGTCCTCCTCTTAAGGTATGCCCAAAAGAAAAGCAAGCCCCTAAACTCTCTTCCTCTCTTTTAACTCTCTCTTTTCTACCTTCCAGTTCTGACCCAGAAGAAGAACTAAGCCCAGACTCGACTAAAAGAAGATTAAGAGAAACTGATTTTTTTTTGCTCCCAAAAACCAGCCCCTTTTCTGGTCTTGAGTGACCCTATTTATCACCAAAACAGACCCCCCCCACTCTCAAAAGCACTTTAGGCATAATTTTTAAACTAATT